CAATGCTTTTCTCCTAAACTGATCTTGTCAATGAATGATGGAGCTCTTTTAGACCAACTTTTGGGCCAAAAGTTGCATTGCTTGATAGGTAGGGCTGCAAACAGATTAGACCAAATCAGATATAAGGTGGATCCAAATTTAGTTCATGCATGTATATTTGGATCCAAATTTGGTTCGTGTATATTAATAAAATGAATTTGATATTATATATCATTACCAAAACATATTGAAACTAAATTTCATGAAACTTCAACCAGCGACTCTTCGGAAATCTTATCAATCAGTATAACTTGGAGTACAAAAAAGTGGATAGATGGTCAGCCTCAGCTATCCATACTTGTGAAAATTAGTATTAAATACAGGTTGCCCTTGTGAAGCAATGGGTGAGACGGAAGATAGCATGTTCGAATTTGTGGGCAGGTGGAGAAAGGAAGTCTCAATTGAAGCAAAAATATTCAAGTTTGAAGAGGTGAAATCAAGGAACCTGGTTAACCTGAAGATCAGCAAAGAGAAAGTGCTATGGTATACCTCCCGAGAGAATCGACAAACTGGCTAAAAGATTTTTTGGATGAGACACTAGTGTTGAGGAAATGCAGAATTGGAAGAACAAATTGAAGAGGAATAAGAAGGTGTTTGTAGCTAAGTTAAGATGTAATCTTAAAGAATGGTTCATCATGTTGGCAGAATGGTTTGGGGAGGGTAGAAAATAGCTGATTTGGATCCCCTTTGGAAAACAGAGTAAGGGATGGATTTTGGTCGTGGAAACTCTACTGGAGTTCCTTTTGAGAAATAAATGTGTGAAGGAAGAAGCTAGAAAAGGTAACGAGGGATTTTCTATGGAAGTCAGGGAAAGCAAAGAAAGATCAGCTATTTAGATATTGTTTTCGTTCACATGTGACATCGCATGAATAGTAATTATTTTAAAATTTTTAAAATACCCTTATTATTTGAAAGTTGTACAAAGATGGTGCTCAGTCTCCAGGCATTCAGTTCAGATGAATAAGCCCTTTGCGGGTGGTTGTTCTTTGTTCACCCTTATTATTCACCACCGCTGTTGGATGGAGGGAAACCCATCTGCTGCTCAGTCAACTGGCATAGCCTTATTAAGTAAAGGCTATGCCACCGCCGTTCAGTCAACTGGGTTTTGCAAAATTGACTAATTGTAAGCCTATTGTTCGTAAAAATGATTTAAAGTTGTCTGACTAAGAATAGGACATCGCCATCATATAGAGAGTGAAAAGTCCATTTTACCCTCTACTTTCTGATCAAAATTTCAATTAGTCTTAGACTGTGATCCCATGACCACAGCCCCTGTTCTCTCTCTTTCTAGAAATCGGTAGAAAATTAATCTTCATCTCAAATGTTTCAGATAAAGACCAATGAATACTTCCTAGAGAAAAAACGAACCACAACTTTCATGGTAAATCCGATATAATCTGAGCCAAACGAAATCCAATAAGAACATGGCCCTGTTCTCGACTATTTCGAGAACATCCAAAGATTACGCCCGTTCCAATAGCTGAATCTGCATTTTTGTTTGCATCTAATGGCCTTACATCATCGGCCAAAACTCTACCCCCATGAATTGTGGTAACTACAATCTTCGTCTGCATCTAATTAATCTCCTAGGATGTCACGACCACCACGAAGTGTTGGCTCAGCATCAGGTCTGCATAAACTACAAGGAATTGCAAATTTGGGTTTTAAATGTCACGACTGCCTAACAGATGGGAGATATTTGTCCTTGTTAAAATTTATCTCCCTTTTGTAGTTGCAAAAGGGCATTTTAACAGCAAAAAGAGACAAATCATTAAAACCAGGAATTCCAATTAAGTATTTTATTTTAGGTCATTTTGTTGCAAACAGTATATGTGCGTTAGTCAATTTCGCAAAACCCACGAGTGTTTAGATATTTTACCAACCTTCTCTTAGCTTTCTGATAATCATAAAAACCTCCACTCAAGTTTGACTTTAATAAAAAATATTTTTTCTTGAAATTTTGGAAAATTTAAAACAAACCTCCCTTTTATCACTATCCCAAATAAGGTTTTTAAAAACGAATCGGTCAGGGGACCGGTTTCTGGTTAAGCAGTTCAACCGTCAAGGTTGAACAGTTCGACCCATAATGTCATAAATAAATTAAAAATTAAAAATTAAAAATATATTTATATATAATAAAAAATAATATAAATTAAATAAAAAACATAAAAATATAGAAAATAAAACTATTTAAATACAAAAATAATACAGTAAAATGAAAATTAAGCAATTTTCATGAATCATGATGATCTGCATATGAAAATTTTTATCATATTTTTTTCAATAAAAATTAAACAAAAAATTCAAAGCTCACCGTTGGTCGCCGTTGCAAAATCGCCAACCGTCACTGCTCCTTGTTGCTGGTGATTACAAGAGGAAGGTTGGCCGCCGTTGCAAAATCACTGGCCACTGCTGCAAAATCTCCAACCACCGCTGCTCCTTGTTGCTCCTAATTACAAGAGGAAGGAAATCCGCTATTACAAAATCGTCAGTTGCTACTGCAAAATCGTCGACCACCGCTACTCCTGGTTGCTACTGATTAAAGAGGAAGGAAATCTGCCACTACTCCTTGTTGTTCACCGCGGAAGCCCTTTTGAGGAAGGAAATCCGTCGTAGTTGCTGGTCGTCGTGATTCACCATTGGTTGTGGCTGCTACAGGTTGTTAGTCGATGTTGATCACGTCGTTGGAGTATGAGGTGAGAGGAAGGAAGGCTGGAACTTGGAAGGGTTGGAACAAAAATGAAAAATTTTCATTCTAACCCTAACATAATTAACATAAGGCTGGAATCGGGGGACTGGAGATATAAATGACATTTTTTTAAATCAAGCGAAAATAAATTTTGCTACCCGCAAACCGTTGTTTGGGTCAAACGGTTAAGTGGTTCGACCGCCTGGGTCAGTTTTTTTTTTTGACCTTTTCAACATTTTTAATAAATAACGGTTTACAGTATTTTTTGATGGAATCTAACGCTTCTAGGCAATTTTGTTATGATCTATGACCACCTAATGTCTTTAACATCAGTTGCATCATCGTGGTGGGAGCATGGACGGGAATGGTTTTTGGTGACACTGGGTTTCTTTGTGCGGGACCTTGACCAACCACTAGAGTCACTGTTAGTCTTCGCTAGTTTTATGTCGTCGGGGTTGACTAGTTGAGGACTGAACTTGAGAACCCAAAGCAAGACAGGAAAGGTTTGGTCTTCTGGGTTGTTTCGCGATTTCAACCATTGAAGTTGGAGAGAGAGGGAGATGAAGAGAGGCATAGCACAACATGGAGAAGGGGATTCGAAGTTGGGAAAGTTTGAAATGGTGTCATTGTGGGGCGTTGAATTGTACTTCACTTGGCAAATAAGAGAAACTTTTCATTTTGAGTAATTGAAATAATAAATTTGCAATATAACAGAAATGGACATGATTAGTGCACAAAGCATTGTGTTGCTTCAATACAGGGTAGTTTGGGGATTTTAATTTATAACTCGATATAGTAGATGGCAAAATAATCTCGTAAAATATACAACGGTAGTTTGGGATTTAGAATTGTTTTAAGGCACACTTGACATCACGTGCCCATTAATCTACTCGGTTCATCGAGAAACATTTCATGCATCGATGGGGTCTTGATTTATGAGATATGCCCGGTTTTTCAATAAACTTTTAAACCAAACAGTAAAATATTTACACGTTTGTTGAAACGCCTATATAGATTCGATGTAGCACTGTTTTTGAAAAATGACCACGATTCCAAACATCCCCAACATTAATTTATATCATCGGACAGCATAAATTAAGTTGGACTAGAGCCTCCCTTATTGTATGATGTCATCGGACAGCAGCCTCCCCTCTATTAACATTAACATTTAATAATCTATTATTTACATCCATTTACACGTGATTTCATGCGCATGCTATTTTTTTTTGAAAAATCCAATCTTACCCTTCATCATCCCTTTGCCTCCGATTCTCGTGTTTTTATCTTTATCTGGGTGAAAACCTCAAACCTCCCCAAGTATTATATTCATTTTTTAACGCTGAGTCATTGCCATCTTTTCATTACTTTTCCGTATATTTAATTCTTTGAAAGTCAGGAGAAAGGATTCGTCTTATTTAGTTAACTTTCAGTTGTCTTAAAAATGTAGTAGAAAAATCTGACCTTTCTTTATGGATTTGGATTCCAGAATAACGCTTTTGCTTCTTCTAGGAAAATAAAAAATCTTATGGGTCCCTACGACAGTGAAGCTAGCGGTGGTAGAGGGGTGGGCTTGATACTTCAAGTTCGGACTTGGGCCCAGTCTGGCCCGTATATATTTAAATTTATATATTTTGTATATAATGTATATATATATATATATATTATTTTACATATTATATTATATATATAAATATTATAACATAACATATATAATTTTTATAATATGAATATTTTATATTATATAATATATAAAATAAGTTTATATATATAGCCTGAAGTCATGCTCAACCCGGCTCGAGCCCATATAGACTAGGACTATGGCTTATGTTTTAAACTTGGAATCCCAGGCCGGACTAAGTCGGGCCCCGGCCTAAACTATAACCCTTATTATAAGTGCAATGCTCAACCCATGATCACCCTTAAGCCCTAGTTTTGTGGATTCCGGATCTCTTGCCCACAAGAATTCTGCCACGCCTACCTACAATACACTACCCTTGTAAATCAGAGTGTAAACATATCAAATTCGAATCCAATCAGATAATATCTAAATTCAAATCTGATTAGAAATTTGATTGATATGAATTCAATTAATTAATTATTTTAGATAATTAATAAAAATATAAAATAAATATTTCATTGATATAAAATATATAAATATATAAATTATTAATATAATTTAATTATTATATATACATTAAATAAAATATTTTATATATTATATATAAGAATTAAATAATCGAACGAATTCAGATTTTCGTTAACACCTCTACCCGTGAATGGAAACATCTCCCCTTTTATAGTACTATGTTCTCCTTCTCCGGGGCAGGAGATGCGGATTCAGCCCTGGGTCCAAATTCCGAAGTACAGAAGTTGGGAACGGGCGGGAAATCGGCCGAAGCCACTCCAACGGAGCGAGAGCGACCCTTTCCTTTCTTTGTTCTCTGAGCCTCCCTCTCGAGGAACTCTAACTCGAATCCCAGATAATTATGCGCCAATGGACATACAAATCGCACGCTGGATTGCTGAATTTATGATTCTACAACCAATCGACGATAGTGTGGTGAACGCTCTTCTTTATGTCCTTCCCCTGTCGGACAATGATCTCCGTCTCAAGAAGGCAATACTTTTAAGGAGAATCTCTTCAGAAGTATCCAATGGTTCCGTTTCGGAGAGGGTTCTTGAATCRCTAGAAAGGATTGAAGAGTTAGAGTATATGGAAGGAAATTCCATTCTGGAATCGATGAAGGAAGCTTATTGCGCGGTAGCAGTTGATTGTACAGTGAGGTTATTGCGAGAGGGTCCGGACAAGCGTGCTGATTATTTTGATTCAGTCAAGAGGACATGGAAGGTCAGGATAGGCGAAATGATTTCAGGAAAAACTGGGTTGGTTTCGGAACAATTTAAAGAGGCGTTGGCACAGATCGAGGCGGCAAAATGGAGTGCCACCGGTTGTCAAAATGTCTTAAACAAGGATACGCGAAATGATGCTCTTAGACTGCTAAAAATTTTTCTAAACGAGGCAAGAGAAGCGATGATCCCCTCTTTTCTGGAATTCGCAGCTGAAAAGATGAACGAGATGGGATTGGAAACGAACGATTTTAGTAGTGTCTCAATACCTGATCAAGTTGGATTGGGACAGAGAGCAGCGAGTTCAACTCTCATCCCCGAGGGAGATAAGAATTCTGAAATGCCTATAAACATACCTGCGGAAGATGGCAAGAAAGTGATGCTTCATTCATCGTCTATTGGTTAGTGATGCCATTTCCTTTTTTGCTTCATTCTTTCCTTGCAAAATCACCGTGTTTTTAGTGCACTGGTTCTCTATTTTAATTTACTGGGTTCCTCCTCTTTCCAAATTAATTTTTTAATTCGTAAAATATGTGTGTTATTGTCAAACCTTTGGCTTTTCCAATATATAAAGCTATAGTTCAATCACTTAGCTTCTAAAGAATCTGAGATTACTTACGCAGCAAGAATGGGTGTGGATACTGCATGTAATAAATATGATTGCTTGCCGACACCTGAAGTTAGCAAAATACAAGAAGCTCTCAAGTCGAGTACTTCAGATCTACAAACATTGGTGAAAGACCCTCTTCTTGATGCTTTACACATTGCAGAAACTGTACTGTCAAACACTGCAAGAGAAAACATGAATCACAAACCTTCGGAAGAAAATCAAGATAAGGTAGATGCTGCTGTATCAAGCCATGACAATGAGGGCATCGTAGAGGTTCAAGCAAAGAACAGTAATATTGGAAACGAGAGTTCTAGTAATCAGAATATGCCAAGGCCTAGTTTGATGGAACGGAATAGTACTGCCCACACTTATGAGGTGATGTTTGAATGACTCAGTGTTCTATTATACTTGATGAGTTATTGTATATGTTATTAATCAGGGTTCTTATTCTGTATTGCTCAATAAATTTATTTAGTTACTTTTTACTGCATTATACATCTTTTGGTGTCATTTCTTGGTGTTATTATTATTATTATCATCATTGAGGGAGTGGAAAATTTGAGGGCGGTTGTGAATCTCTTTGAGAAGATGTCTAATTTGAGGATTAATTGGTCAAAGAGCTTATTGGTTGGAGTCAACATTGAAGAAGATGAAGTGAGATTCTTGGCAAGTTCCCTAGGTTGTGAGAAAGGTGAGTGGCCAATGAAATACTTGGGTTTACCCCTTTAGATAATCTTAGATCTGCCTGTTTTTGGTCTCCGGTGGTGGAAAGGATAGAGAAATGATTGGCGGCGTGGAAAATAAATTATATGTCATTGGGGGGGGGAGAATAACCCTAATTAAATCCACTTTAGCAAATCTCTCAGTGTACTATATGTCAGTGCTTAGGATGCCACAAAAGATAGTGAGGAAAGTTGAAAAAATCATGAGGGATTTTCTATGGGAGCCAGGGGAAAAAAATAAGGATCATTTGCTTAGATGGGAGAAGGTGAGTAAACTGAAAGAGGAAGGGGGTTTGGGAATTGGTAATGTTAGAATGAAGAATCGGGCTTTGCTGGGCAAATGGCTCTGGAGGTTTCCAAATGAAAATGAGAAATTATGGCACAAAGTGGTTGCAAGCATTCATGGCATGTTGTGCAACGGATGGGATGTTGCCTGTCTACGTAGGGCTAACTTGGCTGCTCCCTGGAAGACCATTCATGATGTCCTCCCTATGTTCCTTAATTTTATCAGGTATGATTTGTATTTTGGGAGGATTTGTGGATTGGTGATACTTCCTAAGGGGAGAAATTTCCTTCTCTTTGTGATCTGTCTAGGTTCAAGGGTAAGCTTATTTCTGATTTCCTAAACCATCATTCTCACCTTCCAGGATTGAATTGGAACCTTGGTTTTAATAGGAATCTTAGAGAGTCTGAACTGCTTGTAGTCTCTGAGTTGTTAGGATTGCTGAATTCAGTTTTCTTGGGGGAAGGTGGGTCAGATTCTAGAGTTTGGGGTACTAATTCTGATGGATCTTTTTCTTGTAAATCCTTTCTTCATTCGATGGTTGCCACATAGTTTTCTCTTTAGTTTCTAGTCAAAGAAATTTGGTGCCATCCTATTCCCCCTAAAATCAGTGCTTTTTGTTGGGAAGCCTTTCATTGTTGTATTAATACCTTTGATGTACTTCAAAGGAAAAGGCCAAATTGGTGCTTGTCCCCTAACTAGTGTGTCCTGTGTAAGTTGAATGGTGAGACTGCTATCCACTTTCTTTCATCATGCCCTTTTGTCGGTTTTATTTGGAGTTGGTTTACTTCCCTTTTTGGGTGCAGGTGGTCATCTCCTGACCGGTTGGAAGGTTTATTCAACCCTAATGGTTGCAGTGGTAAGACAAGGAGGGGAAGGATTCTTTGGAGGTGCACTAGAGTAGCAATAATTTGGACCATTTGGTAGGAAAGAAATGATAGAATATTTGAAAGTAAGGAAAAATGCAAGGAGGCTTTAGTGGAAACAATAACATTGAGGGTGGCACATTGGGTAAAAAGTTTAAAGCAGTTTTTAGATTTTAAAGTTGATGACTTCTGTAGGGTTTGGGGACTTATTGCTGCTTCATCAACTATGAGGTGACAGGTTTGTGAGACATGGTCCCCTCCAACAGAGGGGTCTGAGGCAGGGTGACCCTTTGTACCCTTTGTTGTTCATATGTGTTATGGAAATTCTCACACTTTTTAGCAAGAAGGATGCAGATTCGGGCTTATGGAATGGGTTTGCTATCTCCCCTGGAAAGGAGAAAGTCAATATCCTTCAATTTGCAGATGACACCCTATGCTTTGCGGATGCTTCTCTGACTCAATTGGACTCAGTGCTTGGAATTCTGAGATGGTTTGATGTGGTGTCGGGTCTCAAAGTCAACTTGAGTAAAAGTAAAATCATCCCAGTGGGGCATGTTTCAAATTTAGAAGATTGTGCAAAAGTGATGGCTTGTCAAATTGATTTCCTCTCGGTAAAGTATTTGGGTCTACCTCTCAAGGCCAAATATTCTTCCTCCTCTATCTGGTGCTTAATCATTGAGAGAATGGAAAAGAAGTTGGCTTCTTGGAAGGCAAAATATCTATCTTTTGGTGGTAGGGTTACATTGATTAAGAGCACCCTCTCCAACCTCCCCACTTATTTTTTTCTCTCTTTCCCATCCCAAACAAAATAGCAAATAGGTTGGAACAACTCCAAAGGAACTTCTTATGAAGGGGTTGGGAAGATTAGAAGAAGATTCACATTGTAAAATGGGAGCAAGTGTGCCTTCCTAAGGAAGTGGGTGGACTGGGAATTAGGAAGTTGAAAGAATTTAATTCTGCTCTTCTCAGTAAATGGTTATGGAGATTTGCTTCTGAGAGGAATGCATGGTGGAGAAGTCTTATTGCGGCAAAGTATGGAGTGGATTGGGGTGATTGGAGAACTCTGGATCCCCATCCAATTGGGGGTAAATCTCTTTGGGCTAGCATCTCAAAGTACAACCCTCTCTTTCTGAATGGGATCAGTTTTAAGGTCGGCAAGGGGGACACAATCAAGTTTTGGAAGGATCCCTGGTGTTTGGAGGGTCCCTTGGTTGTAGCTTTTCCTCGTCTGTACCAAATTGCAGTGAATCAGAGGATTGATTTGAGTCTAGAAGATGAATGGTCTTGGAAGTGGAATGCAGATGGTAGCTTCTCAGTTAAATCCCTATTCCTTAAGGTGTGCAGTTCAGGTCAGGAGAACTTCCCTGCTAGGCAGATTTGGAATCCAACTAGCCCCTCCAAGATCAACTTCCCGGTCTGGACAATGGCTTTGACTAGGATTTACCTGGAGAGAAGGGGTATTCAGATTCTGGACCCCTCTTGTGTTTTGTGTGGAAACTGTGCAGAATCCATAGAGCACTTGTGTATCCATTGTTAGGTTTCCTCTTCAATCTGGGGACATTTTTTCAAGAAGCTGGAGATTTGTTGGTCTATGCCAAGATCTCTGAAGGAGCTGCTAATGTGTTGGAGAATGGAGGGTCTCAGTAAGAAAGGTAAGCTTGTTTGGAATACCATTCCGCAAGCTGTTCTTTGGTCCATTTGGACTGAAAGAAATAACATAATCTTCTGTGGTCAACTCAAAAGCCCAGAAGTAGTGCAGAAAGCGGTGGGCAAGATTTGTTCCTGGGTGTCGGTGAATGAGGAATTTAAAAATCAGAATGTATCTCATTTGTTATGCACTAAATCATGGATGATCTTGTAATCTGTCTCGGGCCCAGGCAGATCTAGTGGTGTGGACCTTGTTGTAATCTTCTTTTATTCTGAATAAATTACTTTACCTTTTTCCAAAAAAAAAAAAAGGAAATGCAACCTATCATAGTGCATTGGGACAATTGTTTTATACACTTCAGACTGCCAAGGTGTATGGATTAAATGTTAAAACATCACATGCCTGTAATGAGGGTAATCAAGGAGTTGACTTTCTAGTGAATAGAAGATTCATGGATAGAAAGTGAATTAAGTGAACAAGATGGACAAAAACTAGATAGGATCGTAAGAGATGATCCTGCCTAACTTAGGGCACTTCCTTTCTACTACCAAAAAGGGCCTTTGCACTATCTGTTCACTGTTGGTCAACTTCATCTGGTGTGCTTTTCTTGCTCCCAGTTTTTCTTTTGGATACCTGTACCCAAATCCACTTTATTGTTCTTTCCAGGTTGCTAGGTTGTAGTTAAAAGTTGAAGTTCTGTTTAAAAAGAACCTCCCAATTCCCAATAGGTGATGTGAAGGATAAAATGCAACTATTTACACAAGAGGTAGTGTTTATCCCACTCACATGTTGGATTTGTGTGTTCACTATATCCATGTCAGAAATCTGGGTTGCACAAAGATAGAAATTGGGTGTCACTTGAATTGTGTTGAGTTTGCTTAGTGATGGTCACATGTCTCAATATTTTAACCATCTTTAATAAACTCAAGAGAGAAATATATCCTTAATAACTATTGACTGGTTATAAGATAAACCAATAAAATGAGAATCTTCTTAAAATCATACCAGGAATAAATTTCAATAACTTCTAATTTGGATCTTCAAAATGTCGGAACTTAGTGAACTTGATTACCTCATCTAAACCTTGTCCGAACCATATGAGGTTGGCTACATGAATCCTATCCTGCCATTCTGTTATGTTCAGTGTTATATCAATCGTTAAATTATGGGTTTTTAAATAATTTCTTATTATTTCCGCCCAAGTCCTTTTTGGACTATCCCTATCTCTACTATCCCCTTCAACTTGTAATGTTTCACTTTCCCTAACAAGTGTTGTAGGTGGTCTCCTATGTATGTGAAGAAACCATTTCCATCTACTTTCTCACATTTTTTTGCCTATCAGAGCTACTCCTAGGTTTCTTCGCATGCCTTCATTTCTAACACTGTTATTTCTAGTTTTACCACTCACCCATCTATGCATTCGTATTTCTGTCACACTCATTTTCTGGACATGCTGTTTTCTTAACTGTTAAACATTCTTGCTCCATACAACATAGCTGGCCTTACAACGTTTTATAGAAATTTCCTTTTAGCTGAAGTGGTATTCGCCTATCACATAAGACTCTAGATGCATCCTGATGAGTTACCGCTCACCTCGGAAGCCCCTTCGAGGGTGGCTTAACCTCCTGAAACAGAAAGATGGAAGAACGGGGATGGGAGGAAGAAGATAACAGAGAGAAAGAGAGACATGCTCATTCATGCCACTTATTACATGATCAGGGCCTTATATAGCTGGCCTATCTATGCAATCAAGAAGAAAATATCTTCTGGTGGCAGTGTAACTAACTCTGGAAAGGCTCTGCCAGCGTGGCATGCTAGCCTCTTTGTCTTCTAGTGAAATGCTGATTGGTGGAGGT